ATTCCTGTCAATTTCCGCCAGAAATCTTCTTTAGCTCCTAGGAACACCCTACCTATATCAGAAGGCGGGAGATAACTGCTGCTTCTTTATGAATTTAATGGTCCCTTGCAATCTATGAGTTATGAGTAGCTCCTTGCCACAAGTTGCATCAAAATTCAGGAGAGAGATTGAGAAAAAAAAAATGTTGTCATATTAATTCAAGGTGCCACTCTATGAAACCCAATCCTGAAACCTAAACAAGGATGACAAGCCACTCGTTGACTGACAAAAACACTTTCCTTGCTTCAAGAACTCTGAGATGCAAAGGCTTCAGTTAAGATCCAGTTAAGGCTTGAAAGTTCAGGGACTGGATTTTTTTTTCTTGGGGAGGGTGGAATTAAGAGTTTTGCTTAAGGGTTAAACACTGCATTCTCACCTACCACTCACCCGGAATAAGACAAGGGTCTATGTTTAGAATTATTTAACTTTTAGAAGTTGTAATGAAGAAAAAGATCTCACCTTGAAAATACCAGTAAGTACAATTTTGTTGCGGGGAAAAAAAAAAAAAAAAAAAGCAACTATGGGGGGGAGGGGGGCAGGCAGGGCAAGAACTAGTGGCTGTTCTGTTAATCCCCTAGCTGCCAGATGCAGTGCCACCCAGTTCGAAGCTCTGCCAGGTAGTTGAGCTCTATCAGGATTAGGCCATCAGATGATACTGTTGGAACTGCCCAGCCCTGCTTCTCAAGATGGATGGTCCCTCAGTTGATTCAGCAAGCACTGCTGACTCAAAGAGGAACCAGGCAGTTTGGCTTATTCAGGATCAGGCCCTCTACTCCCCACACACCCCTATTTCCATTAAGCTAATTTCTGTGAAAGGAGAATGTGGTCCTATGGAAGTAAATATGCCGGGTACCTTAATTGTTCACAAGTCTCACTAATGAAACTAAGAAACTAAAATTAAACAACCAGATTAAGACCTAAATTACATGGTCTTTAGCGGGGACATTCAACACATTCAACAACAGAAAAAACTTAACAAAAGTTAAAACCATCACTCTATGCGAAAGCCCAGCCACTTTGGCCTGGCAGCCCTCCACTTTGGTCAGGAGCACTGGCCAGGCAACTCAGAACAAAGTCGCCCAGATATCCTAACCTGCAGCTGACAAAATTCTATTATAAACACAGCCTGCTCAAGTCCTACTGCTACTTAATTTGTGTGCTCTTCCATGGACCAATCAGGTTGTTGTTGCTAGATTCCACACAGAGGCTACATCTTGCAAGTTCCCCCTGTGAACTAGGGCTAAGTACAGACAGTCAAAAAGCCTGAGGCTGAATCTATTCAATCTTTGCAGGTTAGTTCAAGCTATATACAGTGAACTGATAAGCAAATGAACAGACATTCACTTTTGATTCTGGAAGAGCAGCCACATGCCTGCAGTGGCCCAGGGCAGAAGCCAGGGGGTGCTAAAGCACACCTCCCTGTTTGGCTGGAACAGACAGCTTGGGCTAAGGCTAGCCCACTCACCCTGCAACACAGGGGTTTACAGGGGGAAGTGCAAAGCATCCTGGGATTGCTGGGGGACAGAGTTAGCTTGAATCTGGACAGGACCTGGGACAGAAGTTCAATAAGCTGATTTAAAAATCGGGTGGGGGGGAAAAAAAAAAATCAGTGAAGTCTGATACTATATCCATCCAGACTCATTTTAAACCAGTTTTGGCCATTTTGAAAGTGGTCTGTGTGCACTGAACATCTGTTGTGTTACATATCTGAATTGGTTTCTGATCACTTAAATCAGTTTGTAATTTCTGTCCCTAGTCTAGGAGGTTAGAATCGAACATAGCAAGTAATGCAGTCCCTGACATCTTACCTTAACAACGATACTACATAAAAAAACCTTTTTGCTTTAAAATCTGGTTTCAGCTAACAATCTAGCTTTGAGACTTTTTGAGACTACAAAAAGAAAAAAACCTAATCCAATATTATTAAAAGGGAAGACTTCATGCAGAGTTGTATGCAACTATTTCTATATTAACTACCACTAACTTCTCTGATGGCAAACAGAAGTACAGTTTTACAACTTCAACTTAGTAAAAGGCCCTGCTACATTTTCTTTAAATTCTTATTTTGTTTTCTTACTTTAGATGAAAAACATCTAAAATAAACCGTTGAAAGCTTAAGATCGACACAGTGAATTGACTACTAGTTTGTACAAAATGGTGCACCAAGTACATTTTACTGTACACCCATATTTTAAAATTCTACCTCCTACCTGCAGTACTGTTAAGATGACAAACCTGTGCTACTAAGCTACTTAGGTAGCAGGCAGAAGTTAGTTGGTTTTACAAACCAAGTGAAAAAAAAGGATACATTTGTTCTTCAAGTTAAGGGTTAGACCAAAACAAACAGACAAAACAACTCCGCCATAAAAGCCATTTAAATAAAAAAAAATTAACACGTTTCCTTCAAAAAGCATGAAAAGTCAACTTCAGCATCAGTAGATTAGCAATAATCAGTAGTCTTACTTGTTTTTTGATCATCCTACTCTAACTCCAGTCTTGAAGATGACGCATGTAACAACAAATGGCCAGAGGACTGCAGCTCTTTATTTGTTAAAAATATTCTTGCTGTCACATCTTGCAGAATTGAAATACCCCACAATTACTGCTTTTACAAAAAATATGTTTAATTCTTCTGGATATTTAAAGATCATCTTTTAAATCCTTGGGATAGCTTTGTTCCACCTTTCCCTGAAACTTCAATGAAGAATACAATCCATCTTTCACCATGTTGACATATCCTCATGGACGTACCAATTGTTTAAGCTTGGTTTGTCACAGAACCAAGATTCTTGAGGTCTTGATCTCTGGCATATTTTTAGATACAATATTTATCAAAATTTAGATTCATTAGAATTTCATCCATCCATACTGGCAGATTCATCCATTCACACCTAGTCTCCTCACCTTCCATCTCGCACATGACAGAGCTCAGTATTTAAAGTTTCTTATTCACATACTAATGATAAAGAATGTGCTCTCCACATTGTCATATTCTGCAAGAGAGGTTTGCTGAAGTGCTGAGACTTGACAGACATCTGTATGAGGTTTTATATGTACTCTTCTTGATAGCAACACAAAAAGTTGCCTTCTTACTAAATTTCATAGCTGCAAACAATGACAGGCAATTCTGTTACATTCTTAAGTGTAAAGAGCCTCACTCTCTAAAGTGAGTTCTCACATGCCACTAGTCCTTTAAAGGGACATCCAAGTCCATTCATAAACCACGATGTGGGTTTTGTCTTCTAAATATACTCATTCTCCAATTCTGTGATTGGATTCCATTCCCCTTGTGCTGCTTAGCAGATTTTCTTATTTGAATCATATTTCTAAGGCACTATCTTCCAAGATAGGGCTCCTAGCTTGTATACTTCTTTGGAATTTGGTAGTATCACAACGAAATTCTCAGATGCAGTTTAAGTACCTGCACAGAAAGTGAATGTATAGTGGAAAGCAGCAATACTTGCACTATTATATTTTTATCATATTGCTACCAGAAACTTTTTTCTTCCTCCCGTTTTTGTTCTATATCAATTTCCAAATCAATATGAATTGAATTTCAGACACTTCTCTTATGACATAGCTGAAGCACTTTACTAAATACCTAGTTCTTTATCTTGATAATCATCTTTCCAGAAGTTTTTTAAAAGCTTGCGGGGTTTGGGGTTGTTTTTTTTTTTTTTTTGAAAATAAAAAAAAAAAAAAAAAAAAAAAACCAAAAAGAAACCACTCACCTAATATGTAGATAGTCTTTTGATCGCTTCTTTGACCAAGGGAATTTGTCACCCTACAGATGTAAGTCCCAGTGTAATTGTAAGTTAGTGGGCTGTTGAAATGCAGAGTATTGTTTATAGACAGTAAGCCTTCAGGCCATTGCCCATCCAGCCTAGATTAGAAAGTGTTTAAAGGCAGTTAGTATCTTACTAGTTTAGTTTTGATAACAGTTCGTCCGACTATTACTTGCAGCCAAGATCATCTAAAGTTCTCTTCCTTTAGAAATAAAAAAAGTTAGCTTTCATGAAGCATCAACAGCCACGTTTTGGTAAAATGCTTAATAAACATCAATAACTTTCAATTAAGCAGCCACAACTATTAATTGCTGTGCAAGGTTCCTTTGTTTAGGTGCTATACCTCAAAGTTGGGTATTTCATAGCTAGGTTGCTATATTTTTGTGAGTTTACAGATTGCAACTATGATTAGCTGACAACACATCAATATCTGAACATAGTCTAAAAACAAAAGAAAGAAAGAAAATGTCAGAGGAAAAGGCTAAAGGTTATTTGACCTGAATACATGACTATAAGTTAAATCTCTAGTAAAGAGAAAAACAGCACAACCTTAAAACTGGATGGAGTATTTCAAGCTTTTTATATAAAATTGTTAGTTAGTGCCATTTTCTCCTGCTTTTTGCAAGAATGAAGATCTATTAAGGGCCTCTAGTACATCAAGTCTATTCTCCCAGCTCAACTCAGGGGAGCTGCTATACTTAAAAGGCAATTCAAGTCACCAATATTTCAATGTTATGTTATGAAACAGTTGATGATCAAGTTAAAAAGTTAAATGGCTGGCTAAATATAAATTAAATATTGTTGCAGTCACAAAATCTAAAACCAAGTTTCTTAGCTGTAAGGACCACCCCACTCATCTATGTCAGTTAAGTGCATCAGTGCCATACTATCAACGGTCCCATACTCTCACCCAAAGGATGGAGTTCTGTCAAAGGCCTGGAATGAAAGCTCCTTCCTTCTCTTCCACACATTTCATTATCTGCAACAGTTCTACATGCATGCACAGCCATTTCATCTGACAAATCTTTAGTTTGCATGAACAACACTAAAGGAACCCTATTTTTTGTTGAACACTTCTAAACATTTTGATGTGTGGATACTGTTAGTATTTTAACCCAATGGCAGCCAGCAGGTCTTTCAGGCTTAACATCTCAGCAAATCAGTTTCCCCAAGCAGGGTGTTGACCTCAGCAGACAGGCAAAAGACAACTTTTCATTAGTGCTGTAGATTCAGGCAACACATGCAAACATACTTTAATTCAAAAAAATCTCACCAACTGTTAGCTAGTTATGGTTATAGTTATCCATAGCCCAGCAAAAGAAACAATCCCTAGTGACTTATCTACAAGCATACAGTATTGTACAAGTACCAACTGAATCAGCAGAAAGCTGCATCTTACAAGTTAAAGATGGTCTTGCTGTTGTAATTAAGACCAGTTCATTCTTACTGATTCAACTGAATTGACAAGGAAGATTCATTTGTGAGGGGTTTTGCCCATATATCTATATACATGGCTTCTTTCTTTCCATCATACTGGGTAATATTCAGCTCAAGCTTTTATGATTTTTTCTACCTTATGAATCAAGTCACAGCATTTGCCTATCATAACAGCAGGTTAATTCTACAAGTTACTCTCCGTAATGAAGAAACTTAGCACTGTTATTCCATTGCAGAAACATTGCCTCATTCTACACCAAATTTTCCATAATGTCTGCAACAAGTAATATCTCACCAGGCATGACTCTGGTCAGCTACCTCCATGCGATTCAGACTAAGCAGTAACTGTGCTGTTATTAATACTTAGCTTTGCATTCTTTCCCCTTGTAACAAAAAGCCAGGATTAAGTTTCCCTGAAATAGGTTGCCATATTTCATGAACCTGTCTATTTCATGTGTATTTTGGTCTGGGTTCAGATTTCTACATCACCTGTTTTGTCAGATGCTGCTGGGCAGATCAGATTCATATTGAATTGAAGTGCTATCAAGGGAAGTGACCTAGCTATTAGTTCTCCTCTTTGGACAGCAAACCCTGACATTAAAAAGGTAGCCTGTTTTGACTTATGAAACATCTTTTGCTCCATCTTGTTTGACCAACATTTAGTTTCAAACCTCCATATACTCATTTTCACATTTTAAAAAAGCCCTTGTTTTGCTTTTCCCTGTATCAGTTTGTAGCATTTCACTTTTAACTTGTGTATACATGTATGCGTACATTAGAGCTGCTTTAATGGTCACACTAAACAAACTAGAAAAATACTTTGATGTGAGAAAATTTTTAAATATTTTATTACAGAACACAACACAAGACTTAAAATGACAGACAGACACACAGAACAGACAGACAGACACACACCATTACTCTATAGGGTTTACTTTAGATCTCTTCTTCAAAAAAGAAAATTGTTGCACTACTGCATCTTTAAAGCAGCTTGTGAATTAACCAGTCAGAGAAGTTTGGGGATTTAGCTACACAGTGGCCACAATAGTTCCCTCCACCCCCCCACTTAAAGTGCTTGCAATGCAATACCAATATTATAAAAAAACAAAAACAAAACAAAAACCAATAAACCCTAGTACCCTTGTTATAATATTGATGTTTACATATATTGCTCAGTTAAATTTAGTTATGACTCAACTGTTAAGAGTGTTTCCTGTAAGTTTTAAAGGGCTTCAGTTTTTTCGCTGCTGCTGTTGCTAGCCATTCAGAACAGCTTACTGGATAAAATTTTTGTTCCTTCACACTTAGCAAGGAAGCCATAAACGGTAATAGAAAATAGAAGCAGCTTGTCAAATTCATACATCACATTTCTACAAAATATTAATGGCTCCTTTGCAGAATTGCTAATTTGTGACAAGTATGTTACATTTTTGTTTGTTTGTTTTACAATTGTCCAAAGATTTTAGGATGCTTTAAAAAAGGCAATTGACCCATGCATTTCAAGTCTCTTCCTTGTGGTGCAGGTAGTGCTATCATGGTAGCAAATTTCATATGGTAAAACACATAATAGGGCCATCCACAAAATGTTAATGATATTTAGCTGCCACGTCAGAGTAGCTGAACCAACAGGATTTCTAGAAGCAAGTGTTTTTATTCGTTCTTTGATAGACAAGCCATCTCTAACACGCTAGGAATAGATAATGAACTACTGCTTTAAGAGCATGGCCAATTTATTGAAGCCTTAGAGCATGTTCTACCCCAACTATAAATACACCATGTTAAATATTAAAAACATCCTGTCTGTGCAAATGTCCGATTCAGATTTAATTGCATGTCTCTAACTCGCAATGAGATGAGACAACATAAATAAATGCCTGGCAGTTGTAAGCTCAAGACAACTGTTATAAACAAAATGCTACTTAAATTTGGAATAATCCTTTATCCCTCAAGTACTAACCAGGAGTACAAAAACTTCCATATTAAAGTTTGCCTCCCACATTTTTCAACCAGCCTATTTTTCCCCTTTTCCATCATCTTTTGTGAAACATAGTCCACTTCAAAACTGTATCAATTTTCCCTTTAAAGCTGACTGATGCCTTGATGTGAGCCATGGTATATTACCTGCATTTTCCTGAAACTAAATACACACAAACAACTATATTGTGAACAGAAGCATATATAGAGGAAAAAGCCATAGAGAAACAAACATTTTTAAATGCCTACCCTTAAGTGGCTTCAAGCTTTATTCAAGGCAACAAAAATATTTTAGTAATACTTACCTGGTCCAGGTAAATTCCATAGGTAGTGGATTAGAATCAGCATTGCACCTAAGTTGAACATTCCCTCTTCCAATGAACCAATTTCCATCATAGCCAGTCACTGAAACTTCAGGGGCATCTATTATTAAAAAAGGTATCTTAGTGGGCCAATAATTAAGAAAAATCTGTTAAAAACAGTTTAGATTCAAGCATGCACCATATAATATTTAAGAGACTAGATGGCAATATTTAAGACTTCTAGTATGTAACAGTCCTCCTGCCTGAAGAACTAGGTAAGCAATATGGAAGTTGGACAATTTCTCAAATTGAGTGTGTCCCAGAATAAGATCCCCCGCCCCATCATTTTTTATTTTTTTTTTGAAAGGCAGAATGAAGGAACAAAGATCTTTCCTTGTAGTAAAACTAAGTAGCAGCAGCTAGGGAGGACAGCTAATAGATTGCATGCAGACTTCACTTTTGCCCAGTAAGCAAAATAAATTTTCATCCTGTGTAAATATGCACACTGATTCTAAGCAGCTAATTCTTGGAAAAAGGGCTTGTTATTGAGAAAATATGGTAATTTAAGTCTATTTGTCTCTCTCTACTGGGCCAGGTAGCTGTTTAATGTTGTTTTGTTTTAAGAGTAGAAACAGGGTGAGAAATAAACACCAGCATTAGAAACATCTCAAAGGAAGCAGTCAATTGCAGCACATTACATGCCCAGACTGGCAGGGTTTTTTAATTATTATTTTTTAAGCCTCATAATGCAAATGACACTCATCCAATTTATTTACAAGAGGTTAAAAGGCAGAAATTTAGAACTTCTGTTTAAAATAAATTTCCTGCATGAAATGTATAGCAAGAGGTTAACAGACAAGTTAACAAGCACAAAAGGTTAACAGACATGCAAAGTGACAAAGAATTTAGTTTGCATCTGACACCCAGATATGGTAGGATGGACTCTTGCAAAATGGACTTTTCACATTGCTACATTTCCTGAATTTTTCTTGAAAGAACACCTAATAGAATCACACTAGTAACACTAACATATTTTAGGAGCAACTTTGACATGGCTTCACTGGCTAAAATTGTGTCTTTAAAGTGGTTTTGGGCAGAAAAAAAGGATTCATTTTATTTGGAGGGAATAAATAAGAAAAACAACACACCACTCTAAGTCCTAGAAACTAAAAACACAGAATCGTAGTTTAGTTGTTACATGAACTGAAGGTTTAACTTTTTCAAGAGTAATACTTTTTTGAAGTATGTTGAATGTGGCCCCAAGCACGTGATTAAAGGATGCTCAAAGTGTGTATTAAGTCTCCATTGCTAGGCAGAGCAATCTTCTTCAGTTAAGATGACAGCCACTGCCGCTTCTCCTGGTGTAGTTAATGGGTCTACCACTTCCAGTAACAGGATGAGTATTTTACTTTTGTCCTGTATATTGCACTTACTTTATTAATCCCTGCCAGGTTTGTAACAAAATATGCCTACCATTACGGCTAGGTGTTATTAAATGTTTGTTGGGTAAATGAAGTCAAAGTGGAGGCTTATTTAAAATGGTATTCATTGGAAGGCAGACAATTACCTGACTCTCCCTCCCTCCTATCCCCCACTACAGTACTAAAATCAGTTTACTGAACTCCTAGTATGCCTAGTCTTCTACTAAACCTTTATCAAAACAGGTTTTACAACATTAAGAACTTGCTTAAGGAGTAAAATGGCACCACCTACAAACATTTTCTGACCTCTTGCCAAAAGTGTCACTATTTTTCCCACAGGCCCTTCAATCTTACCCCTTTCTTTTCTGGTTTAGGCCCTCTAAGCACTTTCCATTTTAGGTGCATCTTCATCTCCCCTGAGTAGTTTGACCAACTCAAGTGTGCCTCAGTTTCTTCTGTTTTGTTTAACCTGTTATCTGTGCCCTTATGTCCACTGAAGTTTAATCAAATATGTTGGTTACTGTAGTTAAATGGAGGCTATCTGGTTACACACAGGTTCAAGGACAAAAAATACTTTTGATCTTTGTTAATAACATTTTTGCAGCTGAATTAAACAGGGTATTAACTGATAAAGAATTTTTCTTCTCTGAGACCACAACGAAAGGATCTGCGCTAATAAAGGAGATCTTATTTCCATTCTACCCATTGTGTAGTTGCATCTTTACGTAAACTGTTCAGTCCCTGGGGTTTCCTCATTCATGAAGTTCACCAGAATTTCACCCCAAGCATTATTTCTAATTTAGAATGACAATTGCCATTTTAAGCATTTTTCAATGCTTCCTTTGCCTGAAATGGTAAATATTTGTTACATTTAGAAATTGTACAGCTGACAAACTGAAGCCCAATTTAAAAATGGTTGTAACAGTAGTCATATTTCAGAGGGGGACAGGGGATGACTCTTCATCTCTCAGGTAAGCAGGTAATCAAGTGGCAGCATGCCTTAGAGTCTGAAGTTTAGGACAAACTCAAGAATCTATTAATTCTGTTTCCTAGTCTGCCAGTTGCTACTGCATATTCTTGGTCAAGTCATTTTGTGTGTATTTTTATGTACTCATTTGTAAAACTAATTCTTGTTTTTAATTTCTTTTTTAAATGGGTTTGGTATCTTGTACAAAAGTTTAGTAGTAAATCCAATACAAGTAATTATAACTCATTTAAATAGCAACACTAATGCTTGATACTTACATTGGATGTCCAGCACGTAAGAATATCTTATCTCCTTTTCCAAAGCTGGGTGCTTTACAACACAAGTTATACGTCTTCCTCTTGCAAATCTGGTAGGAATGATTTTATATTGACTTACAACTGTCACTGTTTCATTTGGAAAGGAAGTTGAAATAGATTCCATTTCACCAAGGCCTCCTTCCCAATCAACATCTGCAGCAGGTTTCCCAGTGGCTGCTGTACAAATGGCTGCTACTGTCTGATTTTCACCATCTATTAAAGAGTTTGGTCCCTTTGCAAGGCTCACAGTGGGTTCAACTATTGAAAAAAAAAAAAAAAAAAAAAAAAAAGTTACATTTTCAGATGAGAATGAGAGAAAACAATGGGGAGAGGGAGTACTGAAATGCACATACCCCTCATTTCAAAATGAAGTACATCAACCACCAGTTAAAAACAGGACGTTAAGTACCAAGTAACATCCAATATACTAACAACTGACAACTTAAACTGAAGCCCCATCCTGCCTCTTACTCCTCGCTGTTTACCCAGTCAGTTATCTAAACTTCAAGGTTTCATTACAGTTTGGATATTAATATATTGAAATCTCCAGAAGTACAAAATAGTTTTCTGACATTTGCAGTAAAAATCTATTAGTCAAGTTGATTAGAACACGGGTAGGCATCCACAGGCTGCAAATTTCCAACCCAAGAGGGCTCAAGCCATTTGCATTTGCACATGGTGCAGATATCCAGCCCCTTTGCAGTAACAGTTAGGCACAGGCATGAGAACAGCAAGGAGGGCTTTGGAAGAGGGACCTGCAAAGAGGATGGGCAGCTTGGTGCAGCTGTGTGCTACCCCATCGTCTATGTTGCCCCAGGCTGGGTCAGACTTTTCTACGATACCAGCCTCTGGATTAGAGAGATTTGTTGTTTTCACTGCAGGAACTCAACATCTAACATACTACCCATGAGTTATCTGTGAGGACAACACCAGCAAAGAAAACAAGCTTCAAACCCTCTATCAAAATTGTGCTTTAAGAATGGAGAGTTTCTACTCCACCAGGCCCTACAAAAAAGTGCTATTCTGGGCTTCTGTCACATTTCACCTTTTCCAAGATGCTCAGCTGACAAGACTTTCTACATTAAGTTCAACTTCTTTCTTCACACTGAGACTCTGTTTAAACACCCGTTTCAACTGATTCTATACAAAAGATATAAAACTGAAACCCATTTCACATTGGACATGGAAGACCAACATTCTTAGACTGAATATGATGCATCTATCACAGCCTTAGAGCTAACTACATGCATATGCAGACATTTTTTTTAAGCCAGATAAGAAAAAGGAAGTTGAATGTGGACTGAGTTTGTAAACAATTGTATGCATGTGGTGGTGGTTTTCTTGATATTGGTTTTTTTTTGGGGGGGGGGGGGGGCGGCATATTTTGTTTTTGTTTAAACATACTTATTTTTAAGCCAACGACCCGAGGAAAAGTTTGAACTATACTGCTACCATTAAACGTCTCAGAAGCAAATCAGACAGTAAACCAAACAGTTAAAGGCATTAATGAATTGGTGCATTATTTATATTATTTTTCAAAAGTTCTGACTGTCTAAATGAATTCAAGCTTTAAGTTGACACCAAATTCTGTTATTCCGATTATTTCCCCTGTACAATCTTCTACCACCAACACCCTTAAAAAGAATTTTATTAAACTGATTTAATCTGACCACCTAGGCTATTCATTTCATTTCAAAGACTAGGAGATTTTTTTTTTAAGCTACTTATGAATCATCTTGGGTTAGAAACCATATTCATATTTTTGGTTCAACCAATTAAAGTGACTATTGCATAACATTTATTTTGGTCTGTAAATTTATGCTAACAATAGCTAATGATAATGTTAAGTTAATTTTTTAATTCCTCCCTTACCACCCCCCCCCAAAAAAAAAGATTAGATGATTTAGTAAGGTTTGTATGATACTGCTCCACATCTCTCCCCACCAGGCAACTAAATTCTCTTTAAAAAGAGAGTTGGTATTTTAGAGGAATCAACCAAAATGCAGGTTCCCTTTTTTCCCCCCCCAGGTACAACTATAGATCTATAGAGTAGGAGAAGCTTGTAAACATATGGATTCCAAAGGTCCCCAGGCTTTAAACACATACCTAAGGAAGCAGCCACAACACAGAGCACTGGACTGCTTAAGCCAGATAAAGAGATGCAGCTATAGAAGAGAGATATGGCCCAGTCAAGTTGGGCCCCTGCTCTTGAAGACCAGGTACAGACATTACACTTTCACTAGTATAAGGGATCAGAAACTAGTCTATACTTGTCATAGAAGAGAAGTTTGGCACACACAGGCTGGTTTAAAAGTGGGGAACCCAGCCTAAGATTTGCCATCCTCCTATCAAAGGGCAAATGCATATTCTGTTTACTACTGACCTAAGCTACACCGCTTACAGAAAAAACACGCAACTTAATCCTGCTTCAGGCTTTTTGAATGTCTGGACCTAGCCAATGGGAACAAAAGATTAAAAAGTGTAGCCTGCTCTGACTTGGGCATCATACTCTACATGACATATAAAGAATCTTTAAGCAAGATCTCAAGTGCTCTACGTCTTCATTCAGTATCAATCACAATCACAGTCAAAATACTTAGTCACCTGAACTAAAATGAGTGCAATAATTGTTTTTAGCAGTTACACTGATGTTTTATACACCGTTTCCCAAACCAGAGGGGCAAAAGGAGAAAGCATGAGCTGATCTTAAACTGTAAGCATGAGCACAGGTTAAACTAGTTAAAAACTGAACTCTAAACATCCTGTAGCAGGTACATTTTGCTGGTCAACTCAATTTATGGGTTGACACTCAATAAAAGGTGTTTTCATTAGTTCAGTTCACATGTGTCCTCTGCCAGGCTTAAAAAAAAAAAAAAAATCAGTTCAGCTTGATATTTAATAAATAGTAAGTTTAGAGATGGTCTCTTCAATACTGAATCCCCAATTAGGTCTTTTTTTCTACCTTTTAAGAGCATTCAGCAACTAACTTTCACAAAGACCTCACCCCTGATCCTAACTACAGGGTTTAATAGTTGTGGAAGCCATCTACAATTTCTCATACCTTCTGAGCAACCAGCTTTTCAGAACTGGGTTTTCACTCATTTGTCCCATGCATCTATGTTGACTGAAATCAGAACTCACCTTGCTAAGAAGAGAGCAATGTACATTTCACACCATGAGGCAAGGTGCTTTCTGCAGTAACAGGCATAACTGTGTCCTGACAAATGCTGCATTAACTTCAAACTGTAGCAGTAACAGCACTAGGAATTAGTATTGTATTTTACTGGCCTATTTACATAGAGAACGGCTCAGTTCTGTTAGCCTTAGTGATGTTTCCTATTGTTTCCCCATCAAGAAGCTTAAGTATTTCATGCTGATGTCTCTTGTTACTCAAGTTTTATTTCAAGATGCAAACATTTTTTCTTTTTAATTTAATGCAAGGGAGACGGACTTTATTCAGAACACTGAAGATGGCCAAGTAAAAACCAGAAAATATTCAAGAGCAACTAACTTATTACCAAGAACTTATTTTAGATTTTTCCAATAACCTCTTTCATAATTTTTTTATTCAACTATCTTCCCATATCCTCATCTCCATCCTCCTCCAAAACAAATCAATATTGTTGTATTTATTTATCTGTTTTCCTGTATTTATTAATATCTCAGATGGAAATATCAGCAAAATGCATCACTTGCTTATTTTAGGTCTGTTTTTCCATTCTACTGGACTTAATTTTACTTATTAAATGTAACAGTTTTATTCCTTAGGCCAAGGGTGTGCCAGAGATAATCTAGCCCACCGTGCTGCCTATGTGTCTCAGAGCTGCTACATTTGAAATGGCAAAATTTCTCCTTAAAACGTTTTAGGTCATCAGATTGTGCTGTGAACCCAAAATACTAGCTGAATTATCACTATCTATTATCATCTCCTACTTGGCAAGTTTGTTTTGTTTTTTATTTACTTGTTCAAGTGTTGTCTAAAAGTTGGGTCAGAATTTTATTTATTTATTTACTTACTTACAGCTTCCCCCCCAAATAGTGTGCTGGCTGGCTTTCTTATTTATTTTAGTATATGCAGTTTCAGCATATTGTTTCAGCCATCTTAAGGTAATGTCATCACCAGTTTGAAGAGCTTGAAGGCCATCAGGTAGCATCGTAAATGGACAAAAGTCAATAATGTGGACATGGTTTGAACTTATCCACACAGGCACTGGTTGTCATTGTGGAGGCCCCACTGGTATAGGTTTCAGGCACACAGTGACCACGCCCAGTCTGAAAACTGTTGAGAAGTGCCCAATAACCACATGGCCAGCTAAATCCTGGTTGACTGACTGCAGAGTCAGAGGTGATGATTGATTGATGCTTGTGCTGACCATTCTTTATGCCATTAAGTAAGGAAAAGTCAAAGGGTTTTGAAACAGTAGACCATATTGGGTGTTCTGAGGGAAGCAGAACTATTGATGCGTGGAGAATGTCCCAGTGCACTGGCAGTGTAAGATTATCCCCGAGTCTGGCTAGTAAGTTTGCTTCAGCATCTGTGCAGCAGAGACGAGGGGGGAGCAATGTTACTGAGGACTAGTAACCATGCGAGTGGAGTGGGGTGCAATGTGCCTGACATGACACATCATAAACATGCAGTTGGGTGTCCACTAATTTGCTGTGCAGTGAGCAAGCCCATAAAGAGACAGTATTCTGCAACTGAGTAATATAGTGGTGGCTTTGTGGCCACCAAACAAACTGCATATTTCAACACACCTTTACCATAGACCACTGTTAGCTTTCAATTAACTAAATTTTTCATCATTTACATATACATTTTAACAATCTGATCAAGTTGCTAATAAGGTGTTACACAGTGGCTTGGTCTTAAGTAGGTAAAGATGCTACTGTTTAAGATGTCCTGATTTTGCAAAGTAACTTTGATCCTTCTCAAACTTACTGTATTCAATTACTTCCTCTAACAAATTACCAAAATATTACAGGGTCATTTTCATATTCAAAGTCTCTCTCTGACCTCAAAGATTCTTACAGTTCTCAAGTCATTACTCAAAACCCTACTTCACAGTGGAAATGAAAACCTTGCATTGCTCTACTAAACTTGTCTAGAAGAATCAGAAGCTGGAATTATGCCAATTGCTCTTGATAAATAACTACCCCTTAGCCTAAATCCACATTTAAGGATTAGTGAAGCTCTGTAGGTTCAGTGTTCAGAAGTGTTTAGTAATAGCTCTTTCCC